CTGGTCTCAGGCTAATTAAGTACCTGGTTTATGTGCCGCTTTCTGTCTCTTGGGCTAATATTTTCCTTGTGTCTTTGGTGTTCTTCTTTCTCCTTTGCTCCAGGTGGGTTGGGACCAATTGGTGTATCTTAGATGGCCGCTCGCTAGCTTTTAAAACCCCAGACGCCACTCACCAAAGTGGGATGCAGAAGAGTTTCTTAATAAACTTTGTTATGTCAATTAACCTCGATGTCCCCTGAAACCATGGTCCCCAGACCTCCACCTCTGCTGCTTTGTCCCTTGAAGTGTTTGGTTGTATTCAGGAAACTTCTGAGCTTTTGGTTTAGTCCAGTTGTGCAGTCAGTCCCACTTTAAAAAAAGTTAAAAGGAAAAAAACATGCACAGCTTGCATTTTGATGTTTGGGAGGAATTTTCCTTTTCTTCTAAATTGTAATCTCTTGTAGGAGAAAATTCAGTTTCTCATCTTTTATCTGATAGCATGTAATACATATGTTTTGCACATACTAGAAGCAAAATAAATATGGGAAAAATAAATTTTTGCGTTACTCCTTAATTACTCATTGCATGGGAAATCAAAGAAATTTAGACTTGAAGGGAACTATGAAATAATTTACTGTAACTACTTCATCTTACATGTAAGGAAATCAAGTTCAAAGAGGTTCTGTTACTGTTTTCAAGGTCTTAGAGCTAAAGAAGGAAAAATTAGGATAAGAGCCAGTCTTCTGAGGCCCAGGCTATGCTTATATATATTTTCAATTATACTACTCTGCCTCCTTAAGTGTATAAGGTATTATATGAGCTTTTTGATGCTTTATGTGGTATGCATTCAATTAGACACTTAGTTTTTCAATAATAATCATCTAACTTATATTAAGATATTTTCTAGATAAGTAATTTTTAAAAATCAGTGAATTTTCCGCTTGACTAAATTATTAAAAAACAACCTGGAAATCAAACAAGATTGAAAACAAAGATAAAGACCTATTACAACATTAGAACTGTGTATTAAACATATTCATTATCATTTCTAAGAAAAAAACCAACCCATTGCTAAGTCAATTCTGACTCTTAGCGAACCTATAAGACAGAGTAGAACTGCCCTGTAGAGTTTCCAAGTACCAGCTGGTAGATTCAAACTGCTGACCTTTTGGTTAGCAGCCGAACTCTTAACCACTCTCTTTGTAACAAAGAGAAGTACAAAGATAGTTACTTTGCTCCTAGAACTCCTTTAGAAAAAGACTACATATCCATCCGGTAACAAATGAATCCATTTCAAAATCAGCATACGTACATGCTTAAATATAAACTACAAATAATATCTACTTTGGCTAAAGTAGTCTTATTCATATAAGCAAGCCAATTTATTAATACAGTTCTGTGACTTATTTTGCATATATACATTTTTATTTATGTACTTTGCACATCTATATACAAAATATAGAAATATGGATGGCATGAATTTGTCATGTTGGCCATTTTATGCTGATAAATTGATTCCCTTCAATTGAAAAATTGATAAGCATTCTATGTATTTAAAGGCTAATATTGTCATTGTTTTTGCCTTGAGTAAACATTACATTTGCAGAAAGACTGGAACATGACTTCTAACTGTCTTTTCATGTTTTCAATTTAAAAGGTAAATAAAATTTGTGGCCATCCAGTGAGAACTCCAACACAAAGCCCCCGCTGTTCTTTTGATCGGAGCAAAGAGAAGCATGGAATGAAGATCTCTATAAGAAATGGGGAAGAGACACTTGCCAACAGAAGAAAGTAAGACATTTGTTTTACAACCAGAAAGAAAGAAAGAAAGTAAGCCATCAATTTTACAACAGAATAGAGTGTATTCAATAGAGTGAAACACACTATCAAAGAAAAAAAAAAAGGACCAATATTCATTCACTTTAAAATCCAATGTCTCCTCCTAATCTGTTAAATAGGAAGATAAGTTCAACTTTTGAGACCAATAAAACAGCCTGTGATAATGGACGTTTTCTATAACCTTGCACATGTGAAATGTGGTCAGTGTGACTGAGGAATGAATTTTTAATTTTATTTAACTTTAATTAATTTTGATTAAAATTCCATGTGTAGCTAGAAGCTACTGTATTGGACAGTGGTAGACTGAAAGAGAACACATTTAAATGATGTTTACAAATTCCTGTGTGTTTAGCATCTGTTAAAAAAAAAAAAAAAGATTGGATAAAAAGAAGTTTCCGTACCTTTTACCTGGGATGCTGAAAAAAGATATCTGTTGATTCAAAATGATAGATATTGAGTGGTTTGCTTTTATTAACTCACATTTTCTACCAATATGCCCATCATTATTTCACATGTTAAATTAAAGCCTTCATTTGTGTCCTTTTGCTTGATAATTGGTGGTTAAAACCAAAACAACTCTTAAAACTGGAGGACACTATTGTTTTATTTTTGTGCTCAGCTGACTAGTACATATGCTAGCAAATACTAGATTCTCAGTCAGTGTTTTTTGAATTGAGCAGAAATTCAGAATCTTCTATTCATTTATTAATTTAAACGACTATCTCTAATAATACCTTATGGAGAATTCAATATTTTGTATAGCTTTACTATCTGTGTTCTAAAATGTTTCTTTCCTTTTGGGATAGTGCTTTTACTTGCCTCATTCTCTCCTCAGATGGGCTATAAGCAAGGGTTAAATATCTGGGCTATTGTGACTATTTGCTACAGTTAAAGAAAAATAGCACTTTGCTTGCATGTAAAATAACTTTTCTTTTTTTCTCTAACCACCTCTAATGATCAGCAGTCATTTCTTCCATGTGATAAATCAGTATACTTTGGCTGAGTGGCTTAGATTAATATCCAGCTAAAGAAGATCCTAAGTTTTTAAAGGTCATGTGTGTTTTACTACCAAAACAACCCAGTTGATATTTAGAAAAACAAAACAAAACTCAGCCTTTAACATCATTTATTCACTAGCAAGAGTAAGGCAACCAGGTGAAATGTTACAAAATGGCTCAGGGCCAATGAGGGACTGATCTGAGTGGGACATTTTAAAGTTATCTATCATGGCCATTGAATAGACCTCCTTGTCACCAACTTTGCAACCTCATTATTTCTATGAGAACTCGTCTGCTAACCAAAAGGTCAGCAGTTCAAATCCACCAGCCGTTCCTTGGAAACCCTAGGGGCCAGTTCTACTCTGTCCTGTAGGGTCTCTATGAGCCGGAATCGACTCGATGGCAACAGTTTTTTTCTTTTTTTTTGGCCAGCCTGCTACCATTAGCCATTGCCCATGAGTTCGGGTAGATCCATCTTTCAGGAACAACCAGAGGTACTCTCCTTGAGCCCACTTGAACATTTTGTTTTTACAGTATTTTTAGGGCCGCTCTTGCGTAGAACTTGATTACAATAGTAGTCCCCTTCTGGTTGTTACCATATATTGAGCAGACCTGAATTTTATTCATCTGTCATCAGCTGGTCATTCTCCATGAGAGCAGAAGCTTCAGTTGAAGCGAGTGTGTCAGTGTTGCAGGAGTAAGTGCTGTGTGTGTCTGGGATACCTTTTCATGCATTCTACTTGTGGTGTCTTTACCTGCTTAAACATGATTTACAATAGATCACTTCCACTTGATGATACGTTGCTTCTATGCAAGCACAGTCTTATAGTCTGGCAGATCAGGTAGGCCTTAGTTCATCACAGGCATCTCAGGTTGCGTAGTCACTTGGTAGTTCATGGTCAAATATGTAGTCACTACTATGACCCGGAGAGACTGCAAGCAAAATTAAAAGACAGAAGTTTTCAGCAAAAGAAGCTGTGACTTTGTTCCAAAACCATTGATGTCTATACTATCATTCTTCTAATTGGGGCTTTCCAGAAATTCTGTACAGCATCTTTATTTACCACAAGTACTTCAAGCCCCATTGAATGGATGAACTGGGTCATCCGGACTGAATGTCAGAGTAGCTTGCCCAACAGCCTGATTTGCTACAGAGCCTTTTCTTTCTCATACAAAAGTACTTCTAGGCTACACAAAACGGGTCAGAGCAACACACCCAAATGTGTAACAGGTTTTGTCCAGTAAGCAAAAGGACCGGAAAAGCATTGTACCTCTTCCTGAATGTTAGGTTCTGCTAGATGCAGACAATTGCTTTTTACGTTAGAGTGACATCCCAACAAGTTCCTGATCGCTGGACATTTAGAAACCCTGTTGAATTGCCAAGCCCTTGAACTGTCAGTGCTCTTCTCCACCAGAGACATGTACCCAGGATGATGTGATCGATATTTTATCATCATCATTGTGTCCTATAGGCTTGCCAAAGTCGGGCCAAATTTGTGGTGAAGTTCATGCTTTAGCATTTCCTGTGGAACCTGGCTGAAGTTGAGACCACTCCTCTGCTTAATCCCTTCCTTCCTGCCCTATCCTGCCTCCTTCACTCTCTTTCTCTTAAGAACAACCCTTCAGTGAACGATTTGCATCCAAATTCCAGTCTCAAGTACTACCTCTAGGGAACTCTACCTAGGGATGTCTGAATTTGAAAAGGTACCTAAAATAAATGCAGAATAATAATAAATGAAGGCAGAAATATAATACCCTATCTTAAATAGAGATATTTCTCTTTATATTCCCAAGTTTCTAACCCTTAATTTGTTTTTCTACCCCCTTCTTCCTCTATATTTGTTTCATATTTCATTATGTTAAATACATTGCTTTTCTTGTTCTATGTATAACATTTGAAAAAAGGAAATGTGCTTGTTGAAATATGTCCCTGGATCTTAGAGTTGTTCTCAGCTTGCTCATGGATTGTTGTTATTGTTAGGTGCCGTTATATTGGTTCCAACTCATAGTGACCCCTTGTACAACAGAACGAAACACTGCCTCGTCCTGCACCATCCTCACAGTCATTGCTATGTTTGAGCCCATTATTGCAGCCACTGTGTCAATCCATCTTATTGAAGGTTCTCCTCTTTTTTGCTGACCCTCTGCTTTACTAAGCATGATGTCCTTCTCCAGGGACACGTCCCTCCTGATAACAAGTTAGTGAGATGAAGTCTCACCATACTCCCTCCTAAGGAGCATTTTGGCTATACTTCTTCCAAGAAAGATTTGTTCATTTTTCTGGCAGTCCATGGTATATTCAACATTCTTCTCCAACACCATAATTCAAAGGAATCAATTCTTTTTCAGTCTTCGCTATTCATTGTCTGGCTTTGGCATGCCTATGAGACGATTGAAAATACCAGCTTGGTTCAGGGCACCTTAGTTCTCAGAGTGACGTCTTTGCTTTTTAACAGTTTAAAGAGATACTTTGCAGCAGATTTGCCCAATGCAATATGTCATTTGATTTCTTGATTGCTGTTTCCATGGGTGTTGCTTGCAGATCCAAGTAAAATGCAATCCTTGACAACTTCAGTCTTTTCTCCATTTATCATGATGTTGCTTATTGTTCCAGTTGTGAGGATTTTTGTTTTCTTTATGTTGAGGTGTAATACATACTGAAGGCTGTAGTCTTTGATTTTCATCAGTAAGTACTTCAAGTCATCTTCACTTTCAGCAGGCAAGGTTGTATCATCTGCATATCACAGGTTATTAATGAGTCATCCTCCAATCCTGATACCATGTTCTTCTTCATATAGTCTGTCTTAGTTATCTAGTGCTGCTATGACAGAAATACCACAAGTGGATGGCTTTAACAAAGAGAAATTTACTCTCTCACGGTTTGGGAGGCTAGAAGTCCAAATTCAGGATGCCAGCTCTAAGGGAAGGCTTTCTGTCTCTGTTGGTTCTAGGGGAATGTCCTTCTCATCAATCTTCCCCTGGTCTAGGAGCTTCTCCGTGCAGGAACCTCAGGTCCAAATGATGTGCTCTGCTCTTGGAGCTGCTTTCTTGGTGGTATGAGGTCCCCTTGTGTCTCTGCTGGCCTCTCTCTTTTATATCTCAAAAGAGATTGACTCGAGATATAACCTAATCCTGTCTCATTAACATAACTGCCTATAATCCTACCTCATTAACATCGTAGAGGTAGGATTTATAACACATAGGAAAATAACATCAGATGACAAAATAGTGAACAATCACACAATACTGGGAATCATAGCCTAGCCAAGTGAACACACGTTTTGGGGGACACAATTCAATCCATAACACAGTCCAATTTCTTGGATTATTTTCTCAGCATATGAATTGAATAAGTATGGTGAAATGATACAACCCTGATGCACACCTTTCCTGATTTTAAACCATGCAGTATCCCCTTGGTCTGTTCAAACAACTGCCTCTTGGTCTATTTACAGGTTCTCCATAAGCATAATTAACTGTTCTGGAATTGCATTCTTCACAATGTTGTGTATAATTTGTTATGATCCACACAGTCAAATTCCTTTTCATAGTCAATAAAACACAGGTATACATCATTCTGGTATTCTCTGCTTTCTGCCAAGATTCATCTGATATCCTGGTTCCAAGTCCTCTTCTGAATCCAGCTTGAATTTCTAGCAGTTCCCTGTCAATGTACTGCTGCAACCGTTTTTGAATTGTCTTCAGCAAACTTTTACTTGAATGTGATACTAATGATAGTCTTTGATAATTTTCACATTCTCTTGGATCATTTTTCTTTGGAATGGTTACAAATATGAATCTCTTCCAGTTAGCCAGGTAGCTGTTTTCCATATTTCTTGGCATAGGCAAATGAGTGCTTCCAGTGTTGCATCTGTTTGTTGAAGCATCTCAACTGATATTCTGTCACTTCCTGGAGCCTTGTTTTTCACCAATGCCTTCAGTGCAGATTGGACT